ATGTTATTACGGTGTATCCATATAAATGGCCCACCCTGTAGATCCTTCGCCATGTCCCATGACAACGTCTATTAAGTATTTTTATTCATCTTTTCATGCCTAAAGATGACTAAAAATGCTTAAGAAAAAAATTAAGGTTGTCATAATTCATGCATGACAGGGTTAACTGAGTTAGAAGTTAGCAGGGAGTTAGCTCGCTAGCTTCCAGCTACAGTGATCACTGACTGACTTGAATCTGTGTGGGGTTAACACAGAAAAAGAGGAAGAATCTGATTAAACTTAAGAGTTCCTCATTTAACAGTCACATATCGAGTTTCAGTTCATTCGCTATTCTGTCCCCAACTGTGGTTCACCCGTCATGTTCACAACAGGATTTTGGCTACAGCATGAAGCTGTTTTGTGTTCTAAAACATGGTCTGTTCAGCACCAAACACACTAAATCCAGTAAGAGGTAAACAACATAACTTCTTTCTGTATGGTTAAATATTAGGGACAAATGTGTGACTACATGCAGTACTGTATGAATAAAGAACTAACTTTAAACTGAGCAGAATTACAGATGTAAATGATAACTCCATTCAGTATCACCGTAATGTCACAGTTTTCCCCCCAATGCAGTTACTTATAAATAGTTTTTATAAATGTCAACTAATCATGATTCATAATTAAAAGAGGTAATATTTTGAGCTCAAATAATGGTTTTCTCAGTACCTTCTTCAGAATTTCCTTTTATGAAACCAGTGCAAAGTGGACTTAAATCACCATATCTTTAAACAGAGCTGTTTTTCTGGCCATCTGAATGTATTGGCTCTCTTTTAGCTGTGATTTTGTTCTCTCCCAACTCCTAAGGGGAGTATCTGAATCTAAACATGTCATCGTGTTTGGTGATGAGCAGGACATGCTTTAGAACTGAAAGCAGCTTCCTGTTGTAGCCAAAATCATCAACATGGTGAGTCAACCACAGTTGGGAACAGGTAACAATCACACTATGAAACTCTGGTAATCTGAGCAAAGCTGCAGAGTTAAGTGGTAACTGTCACGGGGTGGGGATAATGTGGACCCAAAGAAAAACCCTGTACTTTGGCTTTGAGGATGTCCACAAAGGCTGCAGAAGACAAAGTCCATGAATAGAAACAGGTGTTGAGTAAGAATAACAGGTGCTGAGACAGAAAGGCAAAGAGAAAACTTAGGCAGTAAATACACACACGTTTATTTGGGTAGTGGGGAACAGATGCGTAAAAACAACAAACAGGTGCAACAAATCAATGGAAGAAGCAGTTCCATTATGTTTCTGAAACGTGCACTGAAATGAATTGAGTCTTTTGTACCACATATCTTTAAATTGTTATTAAAAAACATATTACATAACTTATAACAATACATGTTGTAGGTGGCTGTAGCTCAGGTGGC